CTCTCAAATAAATAAATAAGATCTTCAAAAAAACACAAGGAGTCAATGCATCAAGGCCCTAATACACATGAAGCAAAACCTGACAGAATTGAAAGGAAAATAGAGAATTCAGCAATAATTTTTGGAGACTTCAATGATGGTCATCTAGGAAAACTAAGAAGAATGCCAACAACAACAAAAGCTTGAACTATACTATACAATAACTAGACCCAACACACACCTATGGACACTGGACAACAAGTGAATACGCATTTTTCTCAAGTGCACATGGAAAATTCTCCAAGATAAACCGTGTGCTAGGGCATAAAAAAGAAGTCTCAACACATTTAAAAGTGTCGAAATTATACCAAATATGTTCTCTAAACATGGAGTTAGACCAGAATGAAAAACAGAAGAAAATTTGGAAGATTCATTTATATGTGGATACTAAGTGACACACACCCAAATAATCAGTGGTTCAAAGAAGAAATCTCAAGGAAAATTAGAAAATACTTTAAGATAGATAAAACTGAAACATAAAATATTAAAATGTAGGGGATGCACCTAAAGCACTCCTTAAAGAGAAATATGCGCCTGTATGTAAATACTTATATTTTAAAAGAAGACTTGTATTAAAAAAGATAGCATAACTTTCCATCTTCAAAAAACTGAAAAAAAGTGAGGCACCTGGGTGGTCAGTCGGTTAAGTGTCTGCACACACGCACGCACACACGTGCTCTCTCTCTAAAAATAAATAAATATTTTTAAATGAATATAAGATAAAAATAGAAATAGAAAAATAGAAATAAAAAGTAAGATTTTATTTATTTATTTGACAGAGAGACACAGTGAGAGAGAGAACAAAAACTGGGAGTGGGAGAGGGAGAAGCAGGCTTTCTGCTGAGTAGGGAGCCCAATCTAGGGCTCAGTTTCAGGACCCTGGGATGACCTGAGCCAAAGGCAGATGCTTAATGACAGAGCCACCCAGGCACCCCTAAATAAATCTTTAAAAAAAAGACAATCAGTGAAAACTGAACATGGACCAGGTATTATATGCTATTAAAGATTGTCGTGTTTATTTTAAAGTCCTAAAATAAGCCCTTATTTGCTAAACGTAGATAATTAAGTATTCACAAATGAAATGATACGCTGCTTCAGATTTGCCCTACCCCCCAAAAGTGGAAGGAAACGCATCAAAATTTAAGAATGGAAAAAAGCTGTAACTATTGAAGCTGGACGAAGACCTGAAGGCTCATATTATTTTCTCTCTTTTTGTGTATTTGTGAAGCTGTCTAGCAAACAAAAATTAACTTTTTGTAAAAATTACATGAAAGTACTGTATTCTATCTAAAATAGTAACTAATTTATTCATTCAACATACATACAAGAAGTGCCTCTTGTATGCACCAAGCATCATTCTAGCTCCTGGGGATACAATAGTGAATAAAGCAGAAGGAATTCCTGCTCTCACAGATCTTACAGTCAAATGGAGAAGACTGGCAAAGAATATATAGTTTCACACGGTAAACATTCTGAAGAAAAATAAAGTGTGCAGTGGATTAAAGAGTAATGTGGGGAGGCTATTCTAGATAGGACAGTGAGGAAAGTTCACTCTGAGGACCCAACTATTTTTTTAAATTTTTTAATTTTTTTTTATTAACATATAGTGTATTATTGGCCCCAGGGGTACAGGTCTGTGAATCGCCAGGTTTACACACTTTGCAGCACTCACCGTAGCACATACCCTCCCCAATGTCCATAACCCAACCCCCCTCTCCCTACTCCCCTCCCCGCCAGCAACCCTCAGTTTGTTTTGTGAGATTAAGAGTCTCTTATGGTTTGTCTCCCTCCCGATCCCATCTTATTTCATTTATTCCTTTCCTACCCCCCCAAACCTCCCACGTTGCCTCTCAACGTCCTCATATCAGGGAGATCATATGATAATTATCTTTCTCTGATTGACTTATTTCGCTAAGCATAATACCCTCTGGGGACCCAACTTTTGAGAGGACACTTAACTGAGGCAGACAGAGAGCCATAGGAAGATTTAGGGAAGCAGCGTTCCAGGCAGAAGAAAGGTACAAACCCAGAATATGGGAAAGTCTAAAATGCTTTATATAAAACTCTAGAAAAATATATACAAAACTGTTCTCAGTGATTCTCTCCAGAATAATCTCTAAAGAGCACATTTTGTTTTTTAACTTTTTCTATTTGAGATTTATTCATTGGTGTGCCTGGTGGCTCAGTTGGTTATGCCTCTGCCTTCAGCTCAGGTCATGATCTCAGGGTCTGGTGATGGAGCTCCACATTGAACTCCCTGCTCAGCAGGGAGCCTGCTTCTCCCTCTCCTCCCTGCTCTTCCTCTCTCTCTCTCAAATAGATATAAAATCTTTTTTAAAAAACTGGAAGAAAGCAAAATAAACACAAGATAAATGGAAGGAAATAATAAAGATAAGCATAGATATTAATGAAATAGAGAGTAGAAAGATAGGGAAAAGCAACAAATCCAAAAATTGATACTTTGAAAATAACCACAAATTTGACACATCTTTAGCTAGACAGGCCAAGATGAAAATAGAAAAGTCAAGTAACTAAAATCTGATATGAACAAGAAGACATAACTATCTATAGTAATTTTAAAAAGGATTGTAAAGGAACATTATAAATAACTGTATGCCTACCAGTTAGATAATCTAAAAGAAATTAACAAATTTCTAGAACAACAGAAACTATTGAAACTCAAGAAAATCTGGATAGAATTATAACTAGTAAAAAAGATTGAATTAGGAGTTTAAACCGTCCCCTCACCTGCCCCCAACAAAAGACCAAGAAAGACACCAAGAGTGCTAATGCACTGAAAAAATGCCATGTGTTTAAAAAAAAAAAAAAAAAGCAAGGAGGAATCCATCTGCAAGCCAGCAAGAGCGGTCTCACCAGATATCCTGCTGGTACCTTGATCTTGGACTTCTAGCCTCCAGACTGAGAAAATTTCTGTTTTTTAAGCCGCTCAGTCTGCCATATTTTGTTATGGAAGCTTTAGAAGGCTAACACAGGTCTTTCTCGGTACCCATAACAATTCTTTATACTTCCCTTATACCACTTTTTAAAAGTTAATTCATATTAAAAAAATTATCTTAAAAAATTAGTTATTTGGGGGCGCCTGGGTGGCTCAATGGGTTAAAGCCTCTGCCTTCGGCTCAGGTCATGATCCTGGGGTCCTGGGATGGAGCCCCACATTGGGCTCTCTGCTCAGCGGGGAGCATGTTTCCTCCTCTCTCTCTGCCTGCCTCTCTGCCTACTTGTGATCTCTGCCTGTCAAATAAATAAATAAAATCTTAAAAAAAAAATTAGTTATTTGTATATGTCTTCTCCCCCCTGCATGTTATTCTTTGTACTTAGTCACTTGCCTAGACTAAATCTGTGATTTCTATCTCCCACGCAATGTGTGGCCACCAGGATTTGTATTTAATTTTTATTCTTTTTTTTAAGTTTATTATTATTATTTTACTCATTCATTCATTCATTCATTCATTTTTTTCCCATCTATTTTTTAGTACTCTCTATACCTAACATGGGGCTTGAACTTATGACCCTGAGATCGAGAGTCGCATGCTCTTCCAAATGAGCCAGGCACCCCTTTAATTTCTATTCTTGTTTTTTTTTAAACTTGGTTTCCTAGGGGTCTCCTCTGTGTCTGTATTACTTAGTGTTCAGTCAAAGAAAGATTGTGATCAAACACCTTAAGCCAATAAGACTTTCACTCTCGGGTGCCTGGGTGGCTCAGTGGGTTAAGCCTCTGCCTTAGGCTCAGGTCATGATCTCAGGGTCCTGGGATCAAGTCCCACATCGGGCTCTCTGCTCAGCAGAGAGCCTGCTTCCTCCTCTCTCTCTCTCTCTCTCTCTCTCTCTCTGCCTGCCTCTCTACCTACTTGTGATCTCTCTCTCTCTCTCTCTCTCTGTCAAATAAATAAATAAAAAATCTTAAAAAAAAAAAAAAGACTTTCACTCTCTACTGGTGGGTCAGTGTGTGCACTGAGGAGTACGTGCAATGTTCAGACTGTTTCCATTTCTTGTCTGGCTTTTACATTGTTCTAAGTCCTCTTGAGCCATCTTGCTTCTCAATTTTGCATGTGCTGTTGGCTCCACGGGCTAGAGTGTTTGCATGATTTAAGCCTCCTTGGTTTTTGCCCTTGATACATACATTCACAGCATTTGGTCCACTCTGGATATGTGGAAAGCTCATCAAGTCCCCTAATAGGGGCTATGTCAGCTCTGAGAAATTCCTGTTAAATCCCTGCCTGCTCTGCAAATCCATCGCTTGCTCCAAACAGGCCCACAGTAGCAATGAAGCAGAGCCACCTGCCATCCATATTTGTTTGTCGCTGAGATCACCAATTTAATATATAAGGCTCTAAATCAATCAAGCCTCCTCTGGCCAAAGCAACGAGAGTGTTGTTGATTTTCATATCCTGCCTTAACCAAGTTGAACCTCTGTGCCAGCTGAACTGATTGAGGGCATGACAGTAATCCCAGGCAGGAACAACATGCCTGTCCTCCAAAATTCAGTGGTTTTCATAAAGAAGGACTTCTCAGCTTGTAGTATGCCTTTATTATTATTTCTAGAGTATCAAGTTACTATTTTGAAAGGTTTATCCAGCTTTATACTTGCTTTTTGGAGAAAGGATGTGTCAACCTCCTCACTCCATCATGCTGAAGTAAATCTTGTAATTTTATCTCTCAAAATATCAAGAATTCCTTCCAGAGTCTGAGAAGTAATGTAATATCTAGTTTCCATAGTTAAATGATTCAGGATCTCAAGAGTTAATATTTTACTTTTTAGACCTCTAGAGAAGTCACAACCACAAAATGACAAAGATGCTTCTTAACTCATAGGGGACCAGGGTTTACTGCATTTTGTATATAGTAGTATATTCTAAAAGACATTTTTGTGTATACTATAGCTCCTATATTTTGGAGTTGTTTCAATCTTACTTCATAACATATTTTTCTTTTAATTTCAGAGTTCACTTAAGTTCCTTATGTCCTCCCCTGAAATTGCTTCCCTATCATGGGGGCAAATGAAAGTACAAGGCTCTGCTAAAACCTATAAGGACTGCAAAGTGTGGCCAGGGGGAAGTCGGGCTTGGGATTGGAGAGAAACAGGAACTGAGGTAAGCTGTTAGTGTTTGGTTAACACTGCCTAAGTGATTTCAAAGGTCCTAAGCCATAATGACCAAGTGAAGAGTAACTATTCCTTTTATTCCTCTCTCTCTCTCAATATAATGCACATACCAGTAACTCACTCTATTATTTTTTTTCAAAGATTTTATTTATTTATTTGAGAGAGAGTGAGTGAGCCAGAGAGCAAACAGGCACAAGCAGGGGAAGGGACAGAGGGAGAGGGAGAAGCAGACTTTCCACTGAGCAGGTAGCCCCATGCAGGCTCCCTCCGGAGACTCCAGGATCATGACCTGAGCTGAAGGCAGGCATTTAACTGAGCCACTCAAGGGCCCCTAACTCACCCTTTTAAAGTATGCAATTCAATGGACTTTTTATTGGCATAAACTTGTGCAGTAGTTACCAGTGCTAATTCCAGAATACACTTACCACCTCAAAAGGAAAACTCATAACCATAAGCAGCTACTCACCTTTCTTCCCTTTCTTCTCTCCCCCCAACTCCTGCAACTACTAATCTACTTTTCTTTTTTTAAGATTTTATTTTTTTAAGTAATCTCTACACCCAATGTGAGGCTCAAACTGAAAACCTGAGATCAAGAGTTGCATGCTCTTCCAACTGAACCAGCCAGGCTCCCCTAATCTACTTTCTGTTGCTATAGATGTGCTTGTTCTAGACTTTTATTATGAATAGAATCATTCAGTTCTCTTAGGTATATACCTAGGATTGGAAATGCTGGTCATATGACAAGTCTAGATTTAATCCTTTGAGGAACTGCCAAGTTTTTTTCCAAAGCAAATGCACTGTTTTACATTTTAGATTGTAGGAATTATGAAGGTTCCAATTTTTCTAAATCTCTCCTCACTGACACTTGGTATTGTTTGTTTTGTTTTTATTATATATCATCTTGGTGGTTGTGAAATGTTATCTCATTGTGGTTTGAACTTGCATTTCCCTTATGTTATATTTCCTCCAGGATTCTCATTGTGCCATACCCAAGGTAGAGGTTGGGTGAAAGAAGAGAGCCCCTAGGGACGCCTGGGTGGCTCAGTTGGTTAAGCAGCTGCCTTCGGCTCAGGTCATGATCCCGGCGTCCTGGGATTGAGTCCCGCATCGGGCTCCGTGCTCGGCAGGGAGCCTGCTTCTCCCTCTGCCTCTGCCTGCCACTCTGTCTGCCTGTGCTTGCTCTCTCTCTCTCTCTGACAAATAAATAAACAAAATCTTAAAAAAAAAAAAAAAAGAAGAGAGCCCCTAGCTCTTGACCACATTCACTTAGGACTTAGTCTCAGCCACAGACAGCTGGGGGCAGGATGAAAAATGCTTAAGTCCTGTTTTTCCCAGGAACAAAGCCTTCCAGCTGGTAGCTAAGAGGGGAAACAATTCTGTGTTCTGGGCCATAGCAGTCTGGAATGGAGTGTCCACCTCACTAAGCTAGGAGCAGGGTTGCAGGGCGGGTGGGGGTGGGGTGTCAGGCTGCAGTCTTTCTGAAAAACCACAAATACTCACCTTTCCTACCAAATATTTACAAATTTTCCCAAAGAGATGTTTCTTCATTTGCTGTTTGTTCCTAGGATAAAATTTTTTAATTTTTAATTTTTTGATTGGGGTGGGTGTAAAATTTTTTTTTGTGGGTTTTTTAAGTTTTTCTTTGTTTCTTTTAATAATTTTCATTTTGGAGCAGGTCATGGAGCTCTTCATGCTGTAGTGATAGAAGTTGATCCTTCAGTTTTGAAAGATAATTTTACTTGATATATAATTCTTGATTAAAATTCTTGTTCTTGGGGTGCCTGGGTGGCTCAGTGGGTTAAGCCTCTGCCTTTGGCTCAGGCCATGATCCCAAGGTCCAGGGATCAAGCCCCACATCAGGCTCTCTGCAGAGCAGAGAGAGAGAGCCTGCTTCCTCCTCTCTCTCTCTCTCTCTCTCTGCCTGCCTCTCTGACTACTTGTGATCTCTGTCTGTCAAATAAATAAATAAAATATTTTTAAAAAATAAAATAAAATAGAATTCTTTTTCTTTTAGCACTTTGAATATGTCATCCCACTTTTTGGGCTTCATTGGTTACTAATGAGAAACAACTATTAAAGTTTCCTTGACTTGACAAGTCATTTCTCTCTTGCTGCTTTCAAAATTCTTTGTCTTTTGCTTTTGACAATTTCACTGTGATGTGTCTACACATGAATCACTTTGAATTTATCCTACTTGGAATATGTTGAACTTTGTGGATGTGTACATTGTTTTTCATCAGATTTGGGGAATTTTCAGTCATTCTTCAAATATCCTTTCTGTCCCTCTGTCTCTCCTCTCCTGTAATACCCATTATGAGTATATTGTATGTTAAATGATAGTCCCTCAGGTGCCTGAGGCTTTGTTCATTTTCTTCTCTTTCCCTTTTTTCTCAAATTGCTAGTCTCAGTTGGTGTATTTTTCAGTTTTGCTGATTCTTACCTACTATTGAGCCTTTTTAGTGAAATTGTCACTAAAATTGTCACTTGGTTACTGTACTGTACTTTTCAACTCCAGCATTTCTATTTTATCCTTTAAAAAATAATTTCTAGGGGCGCCTGGGTGGCTCAGTGGGTTAAGCCGCTGCCTTCAGCTCGGGTCATGATCTCAGGGTCCTGGGATCGAGCCCCACATCGGGCTCTCTGCTCAGCAGGGAGTCTGCTTCCCTCTCTCTCTCTGCCTGCTTCTCTGTCTACTTGTGATCTCTCTCTGTCAAATAAATAAATAAAATCTTTAAAAAAAATAAATAAAAAATAATTTCTAACTATTGATAGTCTCTATTTTTTAAGATATTGTCCTCATACTTTCCGTTAGTTCTTTGAATACAGTTTCCTAGAATAATGATTAGACAGAGGTTTCTTTGTATGCCTGCAACCAGTAGGTGTTCCCAGTGTTTGCCAAGGGACTCTGTATGCAATTTGGGCTATTTAAAATTCTGCCTATTTCTTGCTTATGTATGTATGTAGGTCAGCCAGAGCGGTGACCTTAGGGCCTTGTCATGTTATTCCTGAGCATGAGCACAATCCTGGACGTATATTGCCATTTCAATACCAGGGTTCATATCAGAGCTTTTCAAAGCCCTCTGTGGATATCTTATTTCCCAATTTTCCCTTTTGAGTTTTTTGGTTGACCTCTTGTTTGCCCTATTGTCTAATGCATCAAGCAACTGCATTTTTAAAAATTTGTCTCTGGGGCTGCCTGGGTGGCTCAGTGGGTTAAGCTTCTGCCTTCAGCTCAGGTCATGATCTCAGGGTCCTGGGATCGAGTTCCGCATAGGGCTCTCTGCTAGGCAGGGAGCCTGCTTCCTCCTCCCTCTCTCTCTCTCTGCTTGCCTCTCTGCCTACTTGTGATCTCTCTCTGACAAATAAATAAAATCTTAAAAAAAAAAATTGTCTCTAATAGTTTGGGACAAACTTCTTTGGAGGTGGCGGTGGGGGAAGAGATTTACGCGGCAAACTCCAAGTCAGATCAAATAAAGACAGCCTACAAGTTGGGCTGTCCAGAGAACCATCAGACTGGTCAAATAATGACAGTTTTCTGGGAATGGAGGTGTGAGGGGGTTTTGATCTATTATTCCATGTTGTGTGACTTCCAGACAGGTAGTTTTCACTGTGACTGTGGTTGTTGTTTTTCAAGGCTACTACAGAACTGGGGATGGAGTAGACTGGAATAGGGCAAGTTAAAATTAGGCAAAGCTCACTTTTCAGTGATTTTTTTTTTTAATCAACACACCCCGAATTCCTGGAAACCTTTGTTAACTTCCACACAACAGAGTACGTTTATTTTTATACTTCTTCCATTATTCTCATTGCTTTTATGAAGAAAAGGATTTTCAGAGGTTCTTCACAACATTTTCTCTGATATCACTCAGAAATAACGGTTTCAGGGGTACCTGGCCTCAGTTGGTTAAGGGTCTGCCTTTTGCTCAGGTCATGATCCTGGGTTCCTGGAATCAAGCCCCAAATTAGGTTCTCTGCTCAGCAGGGAGACTGCTTCTTCCTTTCCCTCTGCCTGCCACTGCCCCTGCTTGTTCTCTCTCTCTCTCTCTCTCTCTCTCTCTCAAATAAATAAATAAATAAAACCTTAGAAAGAGGGAAAGAAAGGAAGGAAGGAAGAACGAACGAACAAAACTATTTTGGATTCATACTTACACAGTGGTGTGCTGGTCATGGCTTTCACTGGCTTGTGAGAATTGATTGTTAAATTTTCAGGAATTCTGTAAGCCAGTTTTTAGACAGAGCCATTATTAAAAACTAGATTATATAAATTTACTCAAGTGAATCATTTAAGACCTATGTAATATATTTAAAATTCATTATTCCTAATTATTTTACTATATTCTATGCTTTAGAAATTATTTATATCCACTGTTACCTGTATGATGAAAATAGTATATATGTGCTACTGTACATCTCTTATTAACTCTGCATTCAGTGATGTCACATTGGTATCTTAAATATCGTGGGAATGTTTACACCACAGAAACTGGGAAACACTACATATTAGGGGTTCTTTTTTTTTTTTTTTTTGTCTTTGTAACTTAATGGCTTTGAAAATTGTGTTATTAAACATAATAAGTTTAATTCATTGCGAATTGTGAAGAATAATAGACCTGTGTACTCATATTCCAGTTTTAAAAATAAAATCTTAGAAATTTGATCTCTTTCTCTGTACCCTTATCAGTGTCCTGAATTTCCTTTATACTTTTCAAATATCTGTCTGTAGCCACAACCCTTTTGCATTGTTCTTCATATTCAAACTTTTATATTAATGGTATCACCTCTTGTCCACTTTTTTTTGTATTGAGGTGTTATTCCACTTTTCTTATTCTTTTGTAAGCTGTGCTTTTTATTTCTATTTTCTCAGTAGTTATCTTTAAAATCGTGATATGTTAGGTTGAACCACATGAAATTAACAGTATTTTCTAGATAAAGAGTTGAATTTAGGAATTGCATGTAGTTCATCCTAATAACACCTTAAGGTCTAAAGTT